CTATTCAAAGCAGGCAAGAAACATTCCTAGTACAAACTTGTTTAGTACCAGTTTCTTTAAGTTTGGTATGCTTCAGATGTTGTTGGGACTACAACTCCCATCAGCCACAGTCATCATGACCAGTGGTCATGGATGATGGGAGCTGTGGTTCAACAATATCAACAATCAAGCAGGGATGAATCGTGACACACAAAACAGGTGGACCAGCTTTAGGAGGTTTGTCAGTACTCGCATGCAAGATTTTTGCCTTGTGTTTGAAACTTATGAAGGGAGCTTTTTGGCCATTTTTCTCTGGGAATAAATACTGTTGGAACTAGCACCTCTGTCTTTGTGTAATGACTAGAAGATGTGTGAGGCTAGGTCAAGCTTGAATTATGCTGGCAGAGATTTGTTGCCCTGTTTCATTTTTGGAACTTGTGGGAAAGTCACATTTGAACCATTGAAGAGCAACAACGGTTCAAGCTCAGAATTGGGCCATGTCTGCTTAAGTAGCCAACTACATGTGTACCGTTTGCAGGCTTTATTTGTTTTTGCCAATTGTAATTCCAATGGAGTGAATCTGGTGACATTGCAGTGGGACATGGTATATTTTCATTAAGTACAATTCCTTTCCTTTGAAAAAAAAATCATCACAATACCTCCTTTATAAGATTCCACTTTCTCTTTCCTTTCAGTGCAATAGCTTGAGGTCTGTGGTTATATCCAAATCTTAACTACTCTGCCTGTGTGTGTGTGTGTGTGTGTGTGCGTGTGCATACTTGTCTCTATTCGTATGCATATGCTTTTCTTTGGAAGAAGAAATATATTTGGAAATAGCTCCTATTTTGTTTTGTTTTATGAGATGAATAGGGTACTCTCCAGGTCATGACCTTGCACTGTGCTGCTGAGAGGAGTCCTAGTATATGCCATCATTCAGTTGCTATCACACAGTGCTATCTGGCAATGGCAATTTCTTCGCTCTTCGCTCCCCCCGCCCCCCACTTAGCAGTAGAGACTTGTGTATTGCTTTCAACCCATGTGCATCCACTATTGCTTCTTAGATCTATATCAATGGATAGCACACACGCAGGTGAGGTGGGGTGGGAATAGGGCTGCCATACGTCCGGAATTTCTTGGACATAACTGGAACACAGCAGTTGGAAATAGTGTCCAGGCAGAAATTGCTTAAATGTGTGGGAAAATTTGGCAACCCTTATCGGAAGCTCAACACCTTGTGTCCTGTTTTTCAGTTTTTGAAATACAGCAAATGTCTGGTAATCTTTATTTTTAGATCCGCCCCCCCCCCCCGCCAGATTTTTCATGTGCCATCTGAAACTTGTTCAGACACATGTATCTGAAATCACTGAAGTGTTGCTTTGTCAACTCAGTGCAATGTTTCCTCAAAAGTCTGTTTCTACTTTAACAAAATGCACACTAATTAATGCATGTTTACATTAATTAAAGTTGTTGCTTTAATTAATTTTTTTAAAAAATCCATTTAGTTACTTGTCTACTTGGCTCTCTTTCAAGGTCCTCCAGACACTTGGCCCTTCATTGGTTTTCATTTGCCAGTGGCTCAGCAACTGTTTGCCTACCTTTAGTTTTCTTCTCATGGGTTGATTTCATAGTGGTCAGTTAGTGGACTTTCATGCAATTTGTTACTTGCAGACTGCAGGCCTCCATTATATCTTTCTGTTATCACCTTTTGAATTATTGCAAAGTTTTCAGGCCAGGTGATTCTGATGTACATGGCACAACAGAGCTCATTCCTGATTGTCTTTTTTGTTATTTCCATAACATTTCTCATTAAAATAGTCATAGTATAAACAGCAATGTTCTCTTTTTCAGGTTTGACAGATGAAAAAGTGAAGGCCTATCTTTCTCTCCATCCCCAGGTACTGGATGAATTTGTGTCAGAAAGTGTAAGTGCTGAAACAGTGGAAAAATGGCTGAGAAGGAAACACAACACAGAGGAAGGTAATATCTCAGTAACTTTTGAAATCATTCTCCTGATGATTGGGCTGATTCTGGAATTGTATTTCCATACATTTTTGAACATGCAGAAGTAGAAACAGAGTCATAGAATCATGGAGTTGGAAGGGACCCCAAGGGTCATCTAGTCCAACCCCCTGCAATGCAGGAAACTCAGCTAAAGCACCCATGACAGATGACCAACCTCTGCTTAAAAACCTCCAAGGAAGGAGAGTAAGTATGTCTTCTCCTCCTCCTTTCTGAGAAGTTATTTTGACTTAGAAGCACAGCCATAAATCAACTGAGTTGGGCTTCCTTGTGCCTCTAGTGGGCAAAGGCAGGAGTAGCTATTACAAGGAGATAGGCTGTCCCCTCTTCAGTTTTTTGCTCTTGCCTCGATGAAGCAGTTTCATTGCCTTTGGCTCTTCTTATTTCATCGTCTTGGTTTAGCTTATTCTTTCTCACTTCACTCTTTAACCCTTTTATTATTATTCTTATTTCTTAAAAAAGAAAAGAAATTCTAGATCTTTCTCCCCCCTGTCCTGTTTCCCCTCTTCAGAAGAGGGAGAAGCAGGCAGCTTGCCTGGGGCGTTTACTCCTGGCTACAATTTTTATCTGATTTCACCGATCATGGCTGTGGGCTGAGCTTGGCAGCGGCTAGGATGCTAGAAAGCTTCCTGGAAGCTCTGCAAGTGGCTGTGGCAGTGCTTGCCCCCACCCTGGAAATCAGAGCAGCCCTTTGCAGCTTTGGTTACAGATTGCATCCCTTTGGTACCAGAGGATTCTTACAGGCACAACTATGTTTGTCAAGTTCCCCCCAATCCCCCTCCCCCCGCAATCCATGACAGAAAGGGTTTCCAAAGGGTTTCCTGACCAGGCCCAGATGGGCCCAGTGCTCCTGAGCAGGCAAGATCAGGCCTTTGGAACCCACTGCTTCCTTGCAGCAGTTGTGTGTGGTGACCCTCTGTTCCTTCATAAGACTCTGCCCTCCCTTAAAGGGTGAGATGGCCTCTTTGGGCTCACAGCAAGCCCTGATGGGCGATTGTGAGACCCAGCAGCCCCATAATGCTTCGCAGAACACCAAGCATCTACAACCTACTGCCAGTGCAATGAAGCAGCAGTTTAGGTGGGAAAAACAGGAGAAGTGGGCCCATCGTTCTAGAGACAAGTTAAGACCAGTTACCTTTGTTCTCCCTTCTCTTTCCTGGCCACTGCATGTCCAGTTCAGTGCCCCAGAGGAAACTAGCCCAGCACAGGTTGTGAAATAGGCTTGTCATTCCCCTCCTTCCTCTGAGGAGGAGTTCCTGGGCTTTGAGGATTATCCTTCTGCCCATCCTCCACTTCAACGCAGGCCGAGAGATCTTCCTTTCTCTACAATTTTAGTCAAGATTAAAGCTGATGCCAAACTATTGATACCGTCCAAGAGGATGGACATCATGTTGTTAGCCTGTATCCTGGGTCTATGCATGTTGGCCTCACAATTCACTTCACAGGCCCAATTGCACGTGAGACCGCTTCAGTGGTTCCTCTTACCACACCAATGGTTGATTATCCACAGCAATCATCTCTATGTTCCAATCCCTCTATATTTACAAGAGAGCATGCATTGGTGGACCAGGGAGGCTAACCTTTGGAAAGGTTTGGCTACCAAAGAACCATAACATCAGCCTACAAGACTGGGGAGCACATTGCGAGGGACAGTTAGTCTCAGTGGACTGGACAGCCACCAAATTCCAACACAGCGTCAAGTGGATCAAACTCTCTGCAGCACAACTAGCCATTCAGCACTTCTGCTGCTGGTGCCTGCCTCATGACTTGATTGGAACAGATAACATGAGTGTGCAATCCTAGATAAACAGAAAAGGAGGGACCAAAAGAGATCTGCAACAAGAGACTACTTTGTTCCTGTTCTGGGCAGAGAAGCATCTCTTTAGCATCTCTCTGAAATACATCTCTGGTGCATCCAGCACACAGGCCAATTGTCTGAGTTGCCCCAGGCTGGATCCAGGGGAATGGATGCTTCACAACTTGGTGTTCAGACACCTTCAGTGAACCCTGGGCCCATTCAATGTAGACCTCTTTGCCTCCCATACTACTACTAGAGGTTCCAGGACCCAGGAGCAGAGGCATGGGACATTCTGATATCACCATGGCCTCTTGGATTCCATTATGCTTTTCCTCTGGTGGTGATCCTACCAAGAATTCTGTACAAGATATGGGAACAGGCACAACTAGTCCTAGTGGTACCCCCCATTGACCCTAGCGTCTTTGTTTCTTTGAGTTTCTAGTTCTGAAAGTGATCACTGCATGGACACTCCCAATCCTACCAGACCTCATATCCCAGGGACCAGTATTCCACCCAGATCCGGCTTTAGACTTTACTGGGATGCAATAAAAACATTGTGTAATTTAATATATTATTCACCACAGTCAATGTGATCTCTGTACTTGCTTGCCAAGACCGTTGATGTCATTTTATTGACATTTGCTCTTAAATTTTGATACAAGAACTTCATTACAAAGTTGGGGGCGTTGGGAGCCTCTTGGACCTTCAAAGGTGACTCATCCGCCTGCATAAAACAGCCTCGCTTCTTCAAGGCTGCTTTCTCTCTGCAGAGGTGAGCATACCTCTATTGTCATAGAACAAAGCACTGTGATGAAACAGCCTCAGAAGATCCCTTGAGGGAATTCATCACTGAATGTTGAGCTGAGCAGCCTGCAGGAGCAAAGCAGGCACAGCACAAAGTAACAGTTCGGGTTGTCCTGTATATAGAGAGTCTCCTTGCTCCGAACCATTTTAAAGGCTTTTGCCCTTTCTGTGTTACAGTAAAGTGAAAGCTCTTAATTCTGTTTGGAGAGGTTTCTGCTATATAACATTAAATTCAGGGAGTTGTGGCAGGTATGAATTCATTTGGAAGAAAAGATAGGGAGGCTACAGAGAAATGCGTGAAGAGAAAAACATTTTAGAGTTGCATTCCTTTTCTTCTATGTATTTCAGATGAAATGAACATGTCACATGAAATAATATAATTTTCATGCTTTTTCTATATGTTGATAGCTCAGTTGGTTAGAGCGTGGTGCTAATAATGCCAAGGTCACAGATTCGATCCCCGTAAGGGACAGCTGCATATTCCTGCATTGCAGGAAGTTGGACTAGATGGTCTTCAGGGTCTCTTCCAACTCAATTATTCTATTCTATTCTATTCTATTCTATTCTATTCTATTCTATTCTGTTCTGTTCTGTTCTGTTCTGTTCTACCATGAATCTGTACTCCACAGCATTCATCCCTTTGTCCCACTCCTTTCCCACTCTTTAGTGCTAAATGAGAGCAAATCTCAATCTGGAGAGAACCTGAATTGCCATTTGCTCTGACTGAGCGCTAAAGAGTGGTTTTCCCTGGGGGGAAGCAGCAGGACAAGAGGAAGTACGGATAAGCCCTTAGGAAAAAGGTAGAGTATTATTCAAAACAGATTTGTTCAAATATCCTGAAGAAATAAAGGAATGTATGTTCTTGTCATTTTTCCAGTGCTCATGTTTGTCCAGAGGACATTTGAACATTTATTCAGTGTCATATTTTCAGTCCCTAGAGTACCGTGCATAAAATACGTCTTTAGTACAAATGTACGTATGTTGTAGTTACAGTAGGGTTCCTTCGGAGAGAATGAAATCGTTCCCTTGACGTAAATCTGTTCTACATTGGATTCCTGCTCTCTCCCATGTGGTAACCTATCATTTCTACTGCTAATGATCCCCTTACCCTTGTTGACGTTAGCAGACAATTCCCAAGGGGTATTTCCTTTTGTTTCTCTTGTCAGCTGGTCTGAAAAGAGGGAACTGTTCAGTCTTGACTTTTCTGCAGATGTTGAGGATTGCATTGCAAAGTTCAGCAAAAGTCTGTTTGTTTTCAATGTACTCAAGAACATAGAAACCAAGTGAGCCAGTGAGACAATATATTTTATATTCTGTGACAGATTAACATTAGGAGGAGAGAAGTTACAGGAATTTACTCTTGTTGTTTTTATTATACAGGATTATTGTTTCATGGTTATTTTGTTATACGAAATAAAGGAACCTCAACGCATACAGGTGAAAAAAAAAAAGATACATCAGTCAGAACATCACATTGATTAGTGAGGAAAAGCAACCATTTGCATTCAGCTTGAAATCTTTCCAAACATTGTACAGTATAGCGAAAACAAAACAGAGACTGTTACAATTTGTTCTTATGTGACTGAGCCAAATGTAGACTTTGGCTGGTCTGTAAAACACCAGTTCTTAGCAACTTGAAACTCCCCTAGGTATTGCCCCATCCCATAAGCATGTCCTCAATTTTAAAATTCATAATACCATATATATTGGTGGGTTATTAATCTGGCAGGCAGGCATTAGAAGGGACTGGCAGGGCTCCAAAGAGTGTGCAGCAGAGACAGAGGACCAGGAGAGTGACCCAGGAGAGGGGGCCAGTGATTTATGGGGTGTCACACCTCCTGCAAAGCAGGAGCCAGGGAAGTGAGAGTAAGGGCATTTGGAGATGGAGGAAGGTGCACAGGATGTGGTGGAGGAAGAAGGGATGGTTCTGGTGTGGGATGGATGAGTAGATTCTTCACCTTCCCCTATCCCAGTGTCTCCTAGAACCAGGAGGGGCTTGAAAAGGGAAGAGCAGCAATGACTTCCATGCAGGAGAAGTCTCAGGCTGTGGGCATGCAACCTGTCAGAGGAAAGTATATAAGGCAGGGGAGGTGAGTGGCCTCACTGTTGCTGCACCTGCTCCATAGGGCCAGACCTGTGGACAGTTGCCTAGAGGCTAAAAGCATGTGTATACAGAGTATTGTGGAAGCTGCTGTAAGTGCTTCTCTTGCCAATAAAGAGTTAATTATTAGACGTGTGTCTTCTTTCTCTGGACCAGGCTGTGTCAGCACTCACTTGATGCAGTGTTGCTAGAGAAGGCACAAGGAAACTTCTCAGCTCTAGTCCACCAATATGTTTCATGTGTCTTGATTAAGGTAAAGAGCCAGACCACCCCTAGCCTGGCACTCATGGTGGCCTAGGCAGAAGGTGGGCAGGGAAGAAAATGCCCCTTCACTGTGCCAGTTCCCAGAATGGGGCAGCAAAGAAGTCTGGATCAGACCACTGCTGTCATATGATGGCAGCATGCCCTCCCCCAAAATGCCTCCTACTGGGAGGTTTCCTATGCCTGCTGCTGGTGGGGCTGCAGCCTCTGGTAACTTCCATTTGCCCATTGTTTGGCTGGGTGCACCAGGGAAGAATGTATTGGAAATTTGCAATTCATATTTTATACCATCTTACCAGTGCCTTTAGCAGCATTGAGGTGCCATAAGATGGACATGTGCCCAAGGTCTGGCTTGTAGATTCAGGGAACGTAGAAGTGGGACTTTATTCCTAGTTCAAGCTGCAAGCTGCTAATATGAGCCATAGATTAATATGTTGAATAGATTTGAATTCTTAAAACTTGCCAAAATTAAGTATTCTACTGAAGATAAGGATGTGGAATAAAACAATTCTAAATATATTGTGATGTAATAGACACTGAAAGCAGCAGTAGGATTATTTAACTTTGGAATTTTTTTGAAAATTAAAATTATTCTGAACTTTCCAGGAGCATCTAATTGTTTGCTTCCTTTTCTTACAGATGTTTCGACTCCTAAGCATATCAGCAGGGTAAGTACCATACAGGTGTGTCTCTCTTCCCCAGAACATAAAACTGTCCAAGCAGCCTTCTGTTGATTTGAAATGAATTTCCTGATGCGTTGCACTTCATTCATCGAATTAGCTCCAGAGAAATTGCTGGTGAGCACACTAACAACTTGCAGACCAATTAAAATACCACTCAGAGCCTTAAGAAGTAAATAAGGACATGGTACACTGCAAGCAAATGTATTGAAACTGTGATTAGGAATGTGTGAGCCACCTCCAGCTTGCCCTGAAAATTAAGCGAGTTTGAAAAAACAAAAATCCCCTATTACCTAAGTTTCATCACTCTTTCCATCCTCTTGCCTTGCATTGTGAAACCTTCTTCCTCCCTCCTTCCACCCTGCAAAAAAGCCTTCCTTTGAGGAAGGGGGAACGGCTAGCAGGTGTGGAGGGCAGAAAAGGCCCCTTAGGGGCTGGATCGTAGTCTATTTGAGCACAGAGTGTGCATTTCCATCTCTCACCTTTCAGATACTTGTTTTAGCTCTAGCTGTGGCAGCTGGTTCTCTCTTGCTAAGTATTTTCAAGAGGAAATTATTTGCATTGTAGAAGGAACATGAGGTAAGGAATGGCTTAGGCAGCAACCATTTCTCTAGGGCCTTTTCAGTACTGGCCCCGACTTGGTGGAATGCTCTGTCACAAGAGACTAGGGCCCTGTGGGACTTGACAGCTTTCCGCAGGGCCTGCAAGATGGAGCTGTTCCGCCTGGCCTTTGGTTTGGACTCAGTCTGACCCTTATGGTTTTGATCTATGCGCTACTTTTAGAATGAGGCTGCATTTTAAATTGTATTTTAACCTGTATTTTAAATTGGTTCCCCCCCCTATTATGTTTTTACTGTAATTTTACTGGTGTTAGCCGCCCTGAGCCCGGCTCTGGCCGGGGAGGGTGGGGTATAAATAAAATTTATTATTATTTATTTAAACTGCCCTGCTCAAACAGTTGTACTCTGGATCTGTGCATACTTCACAGGCACTAGGTTGGGGCAAAAGCAGCTGGGGGAGTTCCAGGGGTAACAAGCCTGGTTAAAAACTTCCTTTCCCCCCTCCCAATCCCTTGTCAACAAATCACCCCCTTCCAAGAGCATTTTGCAGTATAGAAGGAATGTCAGGTTAATGTCACACATGGCTGCAATGTAATGTGCAGTTTCCCCCTAAATAATCCACACTGCTTTTGTTAACTTTGAATGAGGCTATTGTGTGCTCCAGAGTGCTGCTGTGAATACAGAAATCCCAGTGTATAATTCAAGGGCTCTCTGAATCACAGCCAGAAGAATTAATATTTCCAGATTTCTCATGCAATTGTATATGGAGCAACATTTGAATCTATTAGGCTTAGCTAAGGAATGAGTGACACCAAATAGGTACCCAGTCCTAAGTGATCTTCCTGAACTTTGTAACAAAGAACTGTACAAATTGTAACATTGGAAGGGACCTTGAGAGCCATCTAGTCCAACCTCTTGCAATGCAGGAATTATTTGCCTATTGTTGGGCTCGAACTCAGAACCCTGAGATTAATCTATCCTGAATTGCTTATAATTGGGTATCTGCATTATATATGATTTTATGTATACTTGTGAGGGTAAAATTGGTGCTGATCCTTTACCATGTAAACGTCGGATTAGTTTCTGAACTGAGACCTACTCAAGTTATTTTTGGTCGTTGTGATTTACAGAACATATTCCTTTCAAATGCCAACTTGAAACATTGATAAGAAGAAATGGTATGCTGGAAATGTTGCAACATTGTAAACCATTTCCCAAATTATGCAGATTGTGAGCAAATCACTGAATAAAAAGCATCTTACTGTTTTGAAAAGTAGTTCATTGATGGAAATGCCTTAAATTATTAAAAGTTTTGAAATGGAAATGTACTTAAAATTTTCTAGCTAAACCATTTCCCTGTGTGCCATAAAAACCTGACTAACAGTAAAAAGAAATACTAGACTCTTAGTTCTTATTAAATCAGAGTGTCCTGCCATAATTTCTGGAGTGAGTTTGTCCAAGCAGTCTTTGTTCTATTGGTATGATATCACTGTCAATCTGAGCTGTAGGAGTCCTACTGTACGAATGCGCTTAATCACAATATAAAATGTAGCCCCTCAAAAATGGAAAATACTTGCATGAGATTTTCTTTGCAACACACCTCTGTTCTTTCTAAGTAGAATGTTTTTGCATTTTCTGATTGATGAGTCAGGGAGTGGAAATTGCAGACATTTTCCCTTCCTTACTTACCATGCTATAATCCCCTCTCTTTATTTATTTCTCGCATCTTAGCACAGAGCTTTCTAGACTACAGGTGGATCTAAGTTCACTGCTAAGGATTAGTTAGAGAAATATCAACATGAGGTGTTATTTTTCTGTAATTTTTGCAGTCATTTTAAGAAATACACCTCCCACCTGACGCTAGTAATTT